TTTATAACGATTTTAATGAACACTCGTGCAAAATACCTTGTTCTAAACAGGCCAGCCGTAGAGTTATGTTACCCCTTTAATTAAAAAGTCTACACTGGATCCTAATGTTTTTAAAAATTACAGGCCAGTCTCTAACTTAAGTTTTATTTCTAAAATATTGGAGAAATGTATTGCTTCTCAGATAAAGGCCCATCTAGATGATATCTGTTTGTATGAACCATTTCAAAGTGCTTATAAACAATTTCACAGTACCGAAACAACTTTAACCCGTTTTCAAATGATATTTTAATGGAAATTGATAATAGAAAATGTACATTTTTAATTTTATTAGATTTATCTGCTGCTTTCGACACGGTGGACCCTTCCATTCTTCTACGTAGACTTCAATTTAAATTCGGTATTTGTGGCTCTGCATTAAATCTTTTAGAGAGCTATCTTGTGGGTAGAAAACAGTGTATTTTAGTTAATTGCAAATCGTCGTCTGAATCTGTTTTGTCATCTGGGGTCCCCAAGGTTCTGTTCTTGGTCCGATTTTATTTACCCTCTATACGTCACCATTAGGAGATATTGTCAGAAAATATGGTCTCAGCTTTCATTTGTATGCCGATGATACTCAATTATATATTTCATTTACACCTAATTGTCCATCTTCTTTCAATTTATCAAAATTGCAACTTGAGAACTGTATTAGTGAAATTAGAAAATGGATGTCAAAGAACTTTCTAAAATTGAATGATGATAAAACCGAATATTTGTTATTAGGCTCAAGGCATCAATTAAGTAAATCTGCACAAGATAACCCCCCTGTTGTAATCGGTAATTGTGATATATTCTGCTCGTAATATTGGCGCTATCTTTGATAGTTTTATGCTTATGGGAGCTCAAGTAAATAATATTTGTAAATTGTGCTATTTTAATATTAGAAATATAGGTAAAATACGTAAATGTGTAACTGTAGAGGCCACTAAGTCACTTGTTAATTCTCTGGTCACTTCTCGATTAGATAACTTTAATTCACTTTTAGTTGGTTTACCTTTAAAGCGTATAGATAAATTACAAAAAGTACAGAATACTGCGGCTAGACTTGTTACTTTAACTAAGAAATGTGACCACATAACTCCTGTTTTATATAATTTACAGTGGTTACCTGTTAAATATCGAATTGATTTTAAGATTTTATTACTTACTTTTAAATGTTTAAATAATTTAGCTCCTGTTTACCTCTCAGATCTTTTAGAACTTTATACACCTAGCCGAACATTACGTACATCAGATAAACTACTTTTAAAGCCCAAAACTGTTCAACTAGTCTCCTATGGTCAGCGCTCTTTTACTTATCAAGCACCTGTTTTATGGAATAATCTACCATTTAGTTTAAGATGTTGTACATCTCTGTATTCTTTTAAAAAACAACATAAAACACATTTATTTAATCAGGCTTTTAACTGACTCTGTATACAATCGTTAACATGCCCATAATCTTGTTGTTTATGTGTGATTTACATTGTCCTTTGTAAAGTGCCTCTGAACATGTTATATGAAAGGGTGCACTATAAATATGCTGTAATAATAATAATAATAATAATATAGACATTATTTGTTATCTATTTCTTTGTTCAGAGTGGTAATTTCACTTTATAGCATATTTCTTTGAAAACTGGCCTGGGAATCCATGCACCCTCCATTATACAAATTAACACTAACTCATATTATTAAAATATTCTTAGTCATATGGTATATTGATCTGCTGTCAAAGCAAATTATTTATTAATTTATTCATAAACATTTTGGAAGTTATGTTTCCACTATATTGTGTTAGTAACGTGGTCGTTGATTAGTCTAATTGTAGTAATATATATACATGTATGTAATATATACTATATAAGCTATAGAAGAGCCTATTAACGCCCACTAATCGTTATTATATAAACGCCAACATAAATAATATTATCCTTCAGAAATTATAACACGTCATTGTTCAATTAATACATGTTGGTCATGCTCGGAGTAACATTGTGTGGCCATAGGTTACAGTCGAATGGTATCTCCTCGATCTACATGTAGGGTTGTATTTGTTAGATCACTGAAATCAAAGGGTAATTTAATTTTGGATATAACAATACTATACATGTATATGACAATCCAGATCTAGTGGGATTGTCTATAGTGTGGGATGCTCTCTACCCGATCGTTCTAAACATCTTTTTATATGCCCACATTTTCATGTGGACGTATATTGTCGTCGCCCCTGTCCGTCAACAATTTGTTTGTCGACATTCTACAGGTCACAATTTTTTATCCAATTTTGACGAATCTTGAACGATAGCTTTATATCCCAAAGATCTCGGTTCCTTTTGAAATTGACATGTATTGGACCGTAACTTCATGGATTATGGCAATTGATTGTACAAAAAATCACGTTTTTAGCTTGTGGACGCTCTAGAGGTCACAAGTTATATCCGATTTTGATGAAACAAGAAATGTATGTTTATAACCCAACGATCTAGGTTCCTTTCGATATTCGCGCTTGTCGGACTGTAACTTCCTGGAATATGGCCCCTGATTATGGTCCCTCTAGAGGTCACAATTTTGATCCGAATTATAAAACCGTTCGAATATATGACCGTTACACCATAATGGGTGTTGAGTTCGAATTTCTTGAAAATCAGACCGAAACAAAATGACAACTCCCTGTACGCAAACAGTGTTAAAGTATTAATATCAAGGTTGTGGACCCTGTAGAGGTCACAATTTTGATCCGATTTTGATGGAACTTACAACAGATGTTTATATCCCACAGATCTCGGTTCCTTTAGATATTCGCACATATCGGACCGTAACTTCCAAAAAATCGCGATGTTAGCTTATGGGCCCTCTAGAGGTCACAATTTTTTCCGATTTTAAGAATTGTTTAAATATATCATCGCTACACTTTGATGATGGTTGGGTTCGAATTCCGTAAAAATCGGACAAAAAACTGCCCGACAAAATGGCCGCTGTTTGAACGCAAATAGTTTAAAAGGATATAATACCAAGGTTGTGGGCCCTCTAGAAGTCACAATTTTGTCCGATTTAAATGAAACATAAAATGTTTATATCCCAAAGATCCCAGTTCCTTTCGAATCAAGACCGCGTTTCCGAGACATCCAGTGTAATGAATGGCTGTAAAGACCAGAAATTGAGTCCAAATCTTTATTTGGCAACATTTTCTCATAAAACAGGTATATTTGTATGTTTTTGATGATTAATGACTATAGGTAGGTCTAGATCAATATATAAGCATGAATGCATGTATTGACATTAATCTTCATATAGCTATGTATGATATTATTAATTAAACATAGGAGACTGGTAACACAAAGAGAATATATTGTCATCTTCGATTTTTATACTAATTTTATTTAACAATCATTAGCTAACATGAAATCCCATTTACCGCAATACCCAGTAACTCTCGGGGTTAAATGGTTTATATGATAATTAAACTATGTTTTATGATGAAATGTATAAACACATATTAAAAGGGTTGCAGACAGCAGTCCGATATTCATTTTGCTCCACAATTCCACCATCAAAAACTGGTGCTTTAGTGCTGTTTGGAATTAATAGTATTCAAAGGAGCAATTCAGGAATGTATCATCACAAACATTTTTATACGCTTACATGGAAATTTGGTCGTATAATGTCGTCGCCCCCGTCCATCCGTCCATCTTCCACAAGAATGGTGGAAGATCATCGAAATTGGAAACACTCCGTAGAAATAAGCTATATTTTGTAGCACATAAACGATCGACCAGATTATCTTAATCTGTGTAGGAATAAAGTAGAACCTGGTGAATCGATGCTAAACGTCAAAAAAGTCTGATTGAGAAGTCCAGCCCAGCTTTGCTCATTTGCTGTCCATTTAAAGCGTATAAATAAATCGCATCCTCAATAATCGATATTTATATAAGCATACCTATATGTTTAATGTATTGTTGGTCAACAACCTACCATGACCTCCACACTTATATCAAATGTTTATACTATTAATGTAGTTGGTCATTTGTTATAATTGTATTCACATTTCCTGATGTCCACTTTCTATACAGGACAGTTCAATGGAATACAATTACTCTTTATGACTGACCGACGTCTCATTTAAGATCTACGAGCAAACGACCGTATTGAATTAATTGTATCCCATATAATTATGTCTTATGTATATTCTGTTAATTAACTAAATGTTATTGAATTAGTTTTCATCTGTGGCAATATATAGCTTCTGATATTTGTTCTGAAAGGAGATATGTAACACTATCGTAGTCATTTGATGCCATAGCTGATGTAAGCTATGAATATATACATACATATATATTGTTTCTCTTAGTGAATGGAGTAGGGTTTAACGTCTCGTCAACACCTTACAACACTTCGACACGGCCATTTTGAGACAGTTCAGCGGTTACGGGTGCACCGCGAGAACTGGGCTTGAAATACCCAACGGTTCTTGTATACCCACACCGAGACGCCAGTACATGCTACTCGATCAACGGTCTCTCCTTTTCTTTTAATGAACAGTATAATAATAAAACTGGATGAAACGCATCAGTAACATATCTATTTGGTTCCCTGTTTTCATATGCAGCGAATTTTATAACAGCCAAGAATTGATTTTTCCGGAATCGTGTTGTGTATTGTTTTAAAATTATATATCAATTTTCAATGATTGGTTCGAATTGCAAGAAAAAAATATTTATAGGGATTAGTAAGTAAAATGTCCAGTTTAGTATATATGTCAATCTTTATTCATATTAGAAATTGGAAATGAAATGAACTGAAATTTAACGTCCTACCCACTGAGCCATCGAGGTATATTGATGGAAAATTCCTGAGAATTCGACTGTTGGAATATCCGTTAAATTTCTTGCCAATCCTTCGTCTATATGTATAAGAATTGTATAACTTATATTGTGATTTATACTATTCATATATTACATCAGTAAATCTTGTCGTTATAGGTTGATGGCTATTGTGAATGGCAGGTCATACTGTGCAAGGTTAATACAGAGTGTTACTAATACTTAATCCATGCGGGTTATGCCATTTACATTAGAGTCGGGTGAAGGGTTGTTTTCCGGCTGCTCATGACCAGCTGTATATAGAAGTCAAGAAGACAATGGACTGGGGCATGATTGTCCATTTCCTGGGGATATCCATCCGATTTATTTATGTGTAAAGTAATGAGCAGAAAGTCGTTGTTTATTATGGGGTTCTATCGGCAATAAAAGAATTGCTCGCTGCTCACTAATGGAATCAATAGCGTTCTGACAGCCCACCTTGTGTATATAGACTACACTTTCTGATATATTGACAACAGGCGTGAGATTCACCAAACCAACGCTTTATATACAACCTGCTATTGTCGCGGAAAGAATATTCTCACCATCCTGAAACGAGCTGCGTGTGTAGCAATCGGCATTTAGTTACGGAATTCACGATATCGAGGAAGCAACGGCGTGGTGAATAAACCCGCAATCAGATGGATTACTACGCTGATTGAGTAAAGATGAATGTGGATCGTGTAGAAAGAATTATAACGCCAACTTTTATACCTGTGTGTGACGGACACTAGCTGCGTCCTGGAACTTAATTATTGTGTATTTATAATATACGGGATTGTAAATATCGTATCATTCATATAACACTGTGATTATACAGCCTCGTGTATACGTTCTGTTGATAGATTAGATAATGAATTTCCTATCATCACAAATCAATATACATATGTGTATATATATGTATATATAAAATGATTTATTAATCTGTGTATTAATAGAATGGATCATCTCATATGATATTATTATCATAGACGTGTCTATTAACGGGGTAGCGAATTGTCGTCTGTGATTCAACCATTCAGTTCTAACAGCCACAGCAGGTGTGTTCGTTCATCAGTTCCTTATTTTCAGTTGAGCAGACGACATCGTAACAAACATGGCAGATCTAACCGAGGATGCTGTTAGCAAATATCTGCGAGACAATCCCGAATTCTTGGCAAAATGGTTGTCTCAGAACTCTTTACCCGACACGGGTCAATGCGCAACGAAGGGAAATAAAGAGGACGGGGGAGAATCACTTCTTTCGGGAATTTCAAACTTTTCCCAGATTGTTAAAAACTCCATTACAGGCAGTATATTTAAAAGTTATTTGCAAGGTGAAAGATCGAGAAAGGTCTCCGTAAAAAAAGATCGGTCGACTTTGATACATATGTCCGAATCGGAACTTTTCATGGAACTTATACGAGATATAGCTAGTGAATTGGACGTTAATGTATTGTGCCATAAGATTATTCAGAACGTTAGTATTTTAACAGACAGTGACAGGGGTAGCTTGTTTCTGTGTCGTGGAACAAAGGAAAATAGATTTTTGGTGTCCAAATTATTTGATGTAACCGATACATCGACATTAGAGGAATCCATACATACAGAGGAGAATGAGATAAAAGTGCCTTTTGGTAAAGGGATAGCCGGTCACGTAGCATTAACCAAAGAAACCATCAATATACAGGATGCATATAAGGTAAGTACAATATTGTTACGCTTACTCTTTCTGGAACACCCGGTACCACTCCTTGAATATCTAACAATTTCTAGAGCATCCGACACCACTCCTTACATAGCTAACACTTTTTTGATGTACGTTTATATGTATATACATTATAATATATATAAAATATAAATAAGAGGTTTGAAAAGAAAATAATCTACATATTTTAAGCTAGCGCTTTCAGTTCCATCTAACCTCTTCAGACTTTAATATGGGTGTCACAAGAAAAATTGTTAAGGTATATCCCAGGAACCAGAAATATGTGCCACTTTAATGTAAAGTGATGATATAAATAAATCTCTTAAGTTTTGGGGTTTTTTTTTCAAAAATATCTCTTACAATGTGGGCTGTTTGGGCGTCTTGGTATGAAAAATATAGCAAAAGTATTATTACTATATTTGCCACATTTATCTAAGACACATAAATATGGCGTTGAGAAATCAATAGAAACTTTAAATGTCCATTAATTAAAGAGGACATAAAGCAAACGCATCAAGATCTTGATAAACCAAAAACAAATTACATCTACAGTCCATTCATAATTAATTGAAACGGGTGATTTGTTATGGTCTGATTGGTTATGTATCCACAGGTGTGTAATAAAATATAACAATTAAACATACTACGATGATTGGTTTTATATGAAGTAAATGAAATTAAATGAAATGTGGTTGAGCGTCTTACTCCGACTGGGCTAATGGAGGCGGGTATGCGCCATACAGTGTGCTATGGGGGAATTTTGCCCGGAAAGCAGCGCCAAGGACTACTCTTATATTAAAACCCAAGAGTTCTTTTACGTGCATGCCAATGTGCACACGGGACCTCGGTTCTACGTCCCGTCCGAACGATTATATGAGGTAAGGGAAGCAGTATAGTACGACTTATGAACTGCGCAGTCTTATTTTAGATTCTACTTTAGAATTTGTTGTAAATGCGCAATAACATTGATACTGTTTAGGCAACAGCTGATATTATTTTAACATCAGTTTACCAGTTATTCCCGACCTTTACCTGGCAAGGTTATATACACTACTCTGTGACTTGTTATATATAGGCTTTAGATCGATGATACTGTAATGTATTCCCTTGTTTTACAATAATTAGAAATGGAATGGTGTGAAATGCATAAGCATAAATGCCGCCAGTAATATAAGTCCTGCTATATGCTGGTTGTGTCATATCCTGCAAGTTATACTTTTCAGCAATTCACACATAAATTATGACTATATTATGCATTACACACCTTTAGTCTCTTCCATAAATTGTTCGTCTGGGACTATCAAGGCTATGTCATCAGCATAGTATTGATAGCAGGGTTTAATTTCATAATATCCTTGATAAGTCATTAATATTATACAGCACACGAAGTTGGTGACGTCAACCCGCCTTTTTTTACACCTGATTTGATACCTAACTAGGGTAACTAGGGTAACCCATTGTGTATTTCATATAGTGATTTAAGAGTATTTCAGCATATTATACCACTTTAATTCTTTCGATATTTATAAATCTTTTCCGAAAAGTAATTTTAGAACATAAGGTGACATCTTCTCAATTGTATTTCTGCTATTCAATAGGCTAGGGAGGATAATACGTATGTGTCACTATTTGAGTTCTTACTGCACACAATTCTAAGTGGAATTAATACGGGGAGAAATATACAGCTCTGTCAGTGTCCAATGCAAATCATACAATCTATGTTGTAAAATGGGATTCGCTAATGAATCTAATAAGAGAAGAAGTATTGCGAACATTTATCTGATTAAACTCACTAATTTTAGATAATTTGTGTTCTGGATGATCTGTAGTAAGCACCAGTCAGCACATGTTGTTTATTTATCCATTTATTTTCGTCTTGATAAACATAACAAAAATCAGTTAAAATATTGGTTTTAGTTTAAGTAAAAGGGTTTTTTTATAAAATCAGGAACGAAAATACCCCCACTTTTTCGTGACCTAGTCATTTATATAACAACCTAAAGTAATTTTCTGAAAACAAAAGGAGGTATGGTTTGTTTTTATTCATTAGTTTAGAAAGTCATTTTACATGAGATTTTGTCTAATTCAACAACACACATGTTACTTTGGAGTCTGATGTACTGAATATCATAAGTTAACGTATAAGATTTTAATGTACTGAAATAGAATAAATGAAATGAAATGGGGTTTGACGTCCGACTGTTCTGCTCCGACTGGGCTAATGAAGACGGGCATACGTCATGCAGTGTGCTATAAGGGAAATGTGGTTTAACGTCTTACTGTTCTGCTAAGACTGGGCTAATGGAGACGGATGTGCGCCATACGGTGTGCTATGGGGTAATTTTGCCTACACAGCGACGCTAAGGCCTACTCTTATATCGAATTCCAATTGTCAAGGGATCTTTTACGTGCACGCCAATGTTTACACTGGACCTCGGTTTTTCGTCCGAACGACTAGACAGCTGTCCTTGTCAGGCCCTCCGTTCTGTACCACTGTCAAGGGGAAACAACGCCGGAAAATCCAGGTGAACTTTATCGGCCAACACCGGGATCGAACCCTCGACCCCCAGGATATCGAACCAGCGGCGTCTCACTCACTCATCCACCGTGCCTCCTGAAATAGAAGAAGTTAATACCATAAACTGTACTGAAATATCATAAGTCAACATGTCAACGCCATAAATATACTGAAACGTCACAAGTTAAGTTAATGTCTGAACATTTAAAAGTTGTTTATTTGCAAGTGCTACTGGTTTAGGAGTTGCCAAACTTTGAAAAAGCTTTGTCTATGGAAGCATGTTGTGGGCATTTTATAATCTCGTCGCAGGAATTCCTGGCAAAAAGTCGAGTCTGAGAAGTCGAGAGGTGAATCAAAAAGGCTATGAATAGCTTAATCAAATATACTAAGTTAATACGAATTAATGAAACATTAAGTATTGGTCACCGACCCGGATTTTCAACATAACAGTTGAAATATTACACTAATACAATTGGGAATCCGAAATGTCAGACATTCATCTCACAGCTGAGCTTTGTAGAAAGCATTGCATTCGGTAATTCCATAAGCGTAAGTAGACCCCATCACATCGTTTAGTTATTGGACGTAAATACTAGCCTCATCAGTACAGCTATATAACTTTTTTTGTCAGGTGCTGCGATTTGCAAGTAAAATAATTCACACATTTGGACCTATTCAGGCTTTTTATACACATCTGGACCTATTCAGACTTTTTATAGGCCCACGTGGAAGGGTGGTCGTATATTGCCGTCGCCCCCGCCCTTACGTCAGTAAGTCCGTCCGTACGTCGTTCACAATTTCTTGTGAAAACTCTACATACTACATTTATCATCTGATTGTTTTGAAATGGATATATGTTGTTTACATCAGTGAGATGAAGAAACCTATTTAATTTCAATAATTTCTGTTAATTTCTTCTGGAGTTATGACCCTTGTTTTACTTTATTGGACCTTGTGAACGCTCTAAAACAAAAATTATCATCCGATCTTTATGAAATTTATATGCATCATTTAGATTAGTGAAACGAAGAAGCCTATTGAATTTCACCAATTTCCGTTAATTTCTTCTAGAAGTATGGCCCTTTTTTCACTTTGTTTCACCTTATGAACGCTCGAATGATAAAAGTTATCCTCTGATCTGTATGAAATTTATATGCATCATTTAAATTAGTAAAACAAAGAATCATATTGAATTTCAGCAATTTTCCGTTAATTTCTTCTCGAGTTATGGCCCTTGTTTCACTTTGTTGCACCTTGTGAATGCTCTAACGACAAAAGTCATCATCTGATCTGTATGAAATTTATACAGACGATTTAAATTAGTTACACGAAGACTCCTATTGTATTTCAGCAATTTCCAATAATTACATATAGAGTTATTGTCCTTGTTTAACTTTGTTGAACCATGTGAACATTCGAATAACCAACGTTACCATCTGATCTGTACGAAATTTATATGCAGCATTTAAATTAGTGAAACGAAGAATCCTTTTGAATTTCAGAAATTTCAAATAGTTACACGTAGAGTTATGGCTCCTGTTTCACCTTGTTGAACCGTGTAAACGCTAAAATGATGAAAGTTATCATCCGATCTGTATGAAATTTATATGCATTATTTGAATTAGTGAAACGAAGAAGCGTATTGAATTTTCGTCAATTACTTCTAAATTGATGGCGCTTGTTTTACTTTGTTGAACACTCAAACGGCGAAAATTATAATCTGATCTATATGAAATTGTCTTGTAAATAAATGCCCCTAATTATCTACAAAAGAAGAAATATGCGACAACCCTTGTTGACCCCCCGGACGTGTTAGCTGCCGTGGGCGTATGTTTCTTTGTCTGGCAATCTATCTTTATATAATTTAACAAATGTTTTATACTATAGACCTAGTATTTAAGTATAACTATATAGTTTATACGGATAACACAAATACTTAGAATGGGATGTTTGTACGAAAGCGATAGCAGAGTTATTATTACAGATGGCGGTTTGAAATACACGTGCAACCAATGTAAGGTTTATATGGCCAAGGCTTCATTTAGAATTCATGGATTTTATTAAAATAAATTTGTTTTAAATATATAATTATATGTTGTTATATTCTTCAAATACGGGGATCAAGGGGAACCGAGGATGAAGCTTAAGTTTATTAAAGCGGACAGCAGTACATTTTTCTGAAAGTTACTTTACTTATAAACAAAAAGACCCCTTGAAGGCCATAAACTGAAAAAGCATCAGGGGAACGAGGATATTGGATTCTGATTCAAAGTTTTTAAAGTTCATAGTACAAAAATATATTATCATCATGTGAAACTTGAGAAACTTTGATACCAATTTAGTTCAAGCTTATGAATCTATCCGTACGTGGAGTTCATTTCTAACGTTTTGCCAAGTTTCTGAAAAGTAACGAAATAACCATACCTTAACTTTTCTCTCTTAAAGAGTGTTTTTGTAGAACAGTTTTACAAATTTA